TCTCTCTCTCTCTCTCTCTCTCTCTCTCTCTCTCTCTCTCTCTCTCTCTCTCTCTCTCTCTCTCTCTCTCTCACGAACATTACTATTGGCAATCGGCATCAAGAGCGAACGACTGTTTGCCACTTCCTTAAGGTCCCCTGTCGAACACCACTAGCTCCCGAATCATTTGGTGTTCAACTACTATTTGTCAACCGGAGAAGGAGGTCCTTCCGGGAAGACATGGTGGACACATTTGTTGCAGGGGTACTGACGGGCAACTTGCCAAATGTCGTGCACCTGGCTAGGTATTCCGCCCGACCACAGTTGACAGGTTCAGTCCTTCAACTTGCAAGGTGTCGGGCGCCGGACCCCTGACCTTTTATGGAAAACAGACACCACATACCCAACACGATGCCCTTTTGAATTGTGTACTGTCTGTCACAGTAACACTAAGCCAGTGGTGTGCATTCATGTTGTCCATCTAAATGAGAGTTCACTTCGACTTGCGGTGTGTACCCCGACAACACCACAAGCAATGTCCAAGAACTGCTAACCTGCGGGATCAGGAGTTCAATTTTGTTTCTTGAGTGCGAAACTCTTCTCAAAACAGATCCAAATCCAACAGGAAGTCTCACCACAGACCATCAAACCTTCCCCCGGTGGCGGACTTCAGCATCCAAGACTGCCCAGCAACTGCTAACCTGCGGCAAGCAAATCCACACCCAGCATCAAGGTTCCCTTAGAGTGCGTGGTCATCCGCACGGCGACTGTTTGACACTTGTTGAAGGTGCTCAGTCACCAAACCGATATCTGCTCTGTCAATGCCTTTCCGGGTTAAAGCAAGGAGCTCTCTCTCTCTCTCTCTCTCTCTCTCTCTCTCTCTCTCTCTCTCTCTCTCTCTCTCTCTCTCTCTCTGGAATCAGATCTCGCATCAAGTTTCTCGAAGAGTGCTAATGACAATCCACACAGACAACCAATGACTCTTTCACACTTCTTCAAGCTGCTTGATCGCCAAACAGATCAGGAACCAGCATCAAGGCCCCCTAACAGTGCTATTGGCAATCGGCATCAACAGCGAACGACTGTTTGCCACTTCCTTAAGGTGCTCTGTCGAACACCACTAACTCCCGAATCATTCTGCAACACTGTTCAACTACTATTTGTCAACCGGAGAAGGAGCCTCATGTCCTTCCGGGAAGATAAATGGTGGACACAATTGTTGCAGGCGTACTGACGGGTTGCGGGTTCAACTTGCCAAATGTCGTGCACCAGGTTGGGTGTTCCGCCTGACCACAATTGACAGGTTCAGTCCATCAACTTGCAAGTTGTTGGGCGCTGGACCCTTGACCTTTTATGGAAAACAGGCACCACATACCCAACACAATGCCCTTTTGAATCGTGTACTGTCTGTCACAGCAACACTAAGCCAGGACAACATTGTCAAGGTGTCATACAAAGAGCCCCTGCCCTTTTTTACACTGTGTTAATTCGCATTTAATAACGACTATTCATGTATGAAGGGCTCAAAATGCCCCGCCGCAACATTTGCCATGTCAACACCTCATATACTGACCATTTAAAGTGTCGCATGATGCCCTATTGGGCTATGTACTGAGTGTTCATTCGCAGTCGGAATAGTTCATTTTTTGAAAAAAAGTTCATTTTTTACGAAATGTGTATTGCCATGCTTGAGACACTTTTTTCTAGTGAGCGTGCCAAGGCTCATTTTCCCTTAACCTTGCCACCCCCACACAGTCCGTTAAATCTCGCAGTGCAATGCTGGTAATTTTCCTAGTCCCATTGCCCACAAACTTGCCCCAAACTGAAGAAAATGAGGCGACACATTTCCAAGTGCACCCGAGCTCAATATTGGTTCTGGATGTACTTCAAACATGTGTTTCTCTCCCCTCTTGCAATCCGTTGTATCTCGGTTGCAAGAGGTCTTGATTTTCATTGATATTCTCAAGAAAATCTAAGGAAAACTCAAATATTTTGTAACTGATTCCCCCTAGGATAAATCCAATCAAGAATGTATCCTCTAAGTGACCGTTTTTACCATTCTTGGTCTCTTTTCCTTTTTTTTTTTTTTTTTTCCTCCTTCGAAAGTCCGGATTGTAAGGACTTGTCAGTCCTTGCTATGCCAGTCCCTACTGACAATCAACTTACTTTTTTCTTCTCCTCCTGTTTTGTTTGACTTTTCCTCTCTTTTCTCTCCTTTTTTCTTTTTTCTTTTTTGATTTTTTTACATGACAAGTCTCAACTAGCTGTTGAGATTTTTCTTAGGCCCTAGATCTTTGATATAGGCCAGTCCGTTATTTATCGGACTGCAATTATGACACCCTCATACTCACAAGAGTCTCATTTTGTCTCCCTTAGTCTCAAACTCCATCCTCCTTTGCTCCGATTTTCCCTTGGTAACTTATTTCTCACATAGTGTCTCTCAAGGCCCTAGTTTCTCTAGTTTGGTCGGTCCGAGATATCTCGGACTGCAATCTAGGCCTCCCTCCTCCATTTCCTGCCTCCTTTGCCTTCTATGACTCTCCAACTCTATCCCATTAGTGTTTGCACTAGTGGTGCTAATATTTCGAGTTGTTAGATCTTTATCTCGGCGATGCATCTCTCTTTGATTATTCATTTTTCATGTCACCCCGTAGTTCCCTTTGGGACAACTAAAGTTATCGACACTTGTCCCGTAATAGTCCCCACCATTCGTCCCACCAGTGTTCCGCCGATGCGGGCCCCAAACTGTAATTATTTTCACTTGAGTCCACGTGGTTCCCGACGTCACTTCTCATGCTGTCCCAATTTTATTTGGCACTCCTTACTCCCCCCGACAGTCCCAATTTCCTCCTCCTGATGTGTCCTAGTGTGCTGAACATTCTTGGTCGCGCGATCTTGATCTCGGGGTCGCCGTTCATTGCCACAATCGGTCCTCATGCTTGAGGCTCTCTTTTCTATTGCCCTGAGTCATCAAGGCCCACTTTCTCGTGGTCTTGATATTCCCTTGCAGCCTGTTAAATCTCGGAGTGCAATGGTGATCTTTTTCCTCATCCCATTGCTCCCAAACTTACCCCAAACTGAAACAAAATGGAGCGGCATATTTCCAAGTGCATCCAGACTCAATATTGACTCCGAATGTACTTGAAACATGTTTTTGCTTTACTTTCTGTTATCCGTTTTCTCACGGTCTACTTTCCTCTTGTTTTATCTTGTTTTTCTTTTCGAAAATCAAGAAATTCAAGATATTTTGTAACCGTTTCATCCTAGGATGAATTAAGTCACAAAATGTTCCTATGACATGCGTTTTCTTTTGCTCTAGGTGATCGTTTTTGTCCATTTTTATCCCAACTGCATCTAGACTTCAGGCAGTCTTGTTCAATGCACCCATACCTCTTTTCTGGAGAGGCAAGCTGACCATGATGTGGCGGCTTACCCTTTTTCCACTCCCACACTCTCCTACCTTTCCCATTCTCCCTCTATGCCCTTTTCTCCTCACTTTTGCTGACGATTTTATCTCGGAACGCATTAGAACCTCATTTTTTAGATTTAGTGTACCTGGTCATTCCACAAACAAGGCCCTTGTGATCCGTTTCATCCCTTTTGAACCTCTTTTCAATTTCAAGGCTTAGAAACCTCGAAATTGAGGCTCTCCCTCTCTTTTTCTAGCCTTTTTCATTTTGGCTCCCAAAGGCCACTTATTTTTCAAATTGTCTGTGCTTGGG